CACCTCATCGGGGCTCCGCAGGAAACCTTTCCATGTGGGGCCTGAAGGTTTTGGTATGTGCAAAGCCGGCAGCGCCACCTGCCGAAATGCGGGCAGCACAGCCACACGGCAGAGAACAAACATGGCAATGAGTAGCTTTGTTGTGGGATGGGGAGGATGTTCAGAAGGCGTTTGAAATGTGCACTTTTATGACCCCTGGGAAACTGGCTGGACAAGCACCGTGGTCGAGATCTCTGGCTTTGGAGACAAGAGGTTGGGAGTTTGACTCCCTCCACTGAGCCTCCTGGGAGAAGAGCCAGCCTGGGTGGCCTTGGGACAGCTGGACGGAGTCCCAGAAATACCCCCAGAAGAAAGGAAGGGTCAACCACGTCTGACGACTCTCTACCTGGAAAGGGTTGCCATGAGTCATAATGGACTGGATGTCCCACGATGACGACTATCCTCTTAGAAACTCTGCTGCCTCCCAAAAATGGGGATTTTACAAATATTTTACATTTGGGGAATGAGAAGAGATGGAACAACGCTTGTGCATGCCCAATTACGAGGGGCTCCAATTACGATTTCCTGGCACCTCCTCTTGCCTGTAATGAATCTTTCCCCAGTATTTTATTGTGTTATTATGTTATTTATGCAGCATGCCAATAAAGGTTTCTGTTTCTGTTTCTGTTCTGTTTCTGCTTGTGCATGCTTGCCCATGCTTGATTGGTAAACCTCATTACTTTGGCTTTTCCCCATGGACAGCAGAATATTTTGGCTGTAGCAGAAAATCTCTGCTTGTGCATGCTTGATTGGTAAACCTCAATACTCTGGCTTTTCCCCATGGACGGCAGAATATTTTGGCTGTAGCAGAAAATCTGCCTTCTGTGGAATCAGACCACTGGGCTATTAGCAAGCTTGGAAATGGGGTTTGGACTACCCGGCCCAGAATCCCCAGCCATCACAGCCTTTGGTCCCATAGTTTGTCCCTCTACGATGGGTGGCTTCTCAGAGCTGCAGGCCGAACTGACGTTTCCAGCCTCTGATCTATTCGGTCCTTTCCTGCCAGCTGTGATGCTCGTGAGCTTCGCCCTGGAGTTTTCCCCGGCGATGCACGGCAGAAGGGAATCCGTGAAGGCCAGAGAGAACGTTTCAGCAGTCAAGGGGTCAAGACAAAGACAAGCACGTGAATGGAACCGAAGGGCAGGGTTTACAATATGAACGTGGCAGGATCAGAAGGACACATTTGTTCTGGAGGACGGATAAGCCCCCAAACTGGAGATCAGAAGCGTTTGTCCAGAATAATTTGTGGCACATCTTCTTGCGAGCAACGGAGAAGCATGCCGCAGGTGATCAGCAGCCCGGCTGGGTTTGGTTCCACGGGACCGGCGTAAGGCTTCCTCCAAGGGCCTCTATGTGACGGGAGGAAGAGAGGCCGTCTTGAAAGCCTGTCTCAAACGAACCTTGGGATCTTGCTGGGCCAGGGCGCAAGCCAGCACCCGGGGAGGTGATTCTGTCCCTCCCAAAGGCAGGAGACGTTCCAGAGGGGTCCCACGGCTTTTCTCCCCTCCCCTGAAGCCAAAACATTTGGTCTCTAGCATCAGGCTGCCACAAGTGTTCCCTTATGAAAGAGATTCCTTTCCTGACACAAACACACACACACACTCCCATACCTCTTATTTCTTTCCAAGCCCCAAGGAAGCGGCGGGCACATACTTTTGAGCAGCTGACGGTTCCTGAACTTGGGGACGGTGCAAGCAAAGAACGCTTTTAAAAGCCTTTTGCAAAAATAATAATAATCTCAGCGGGATATTTGTGGTGTGTGGGGGCCTTCAGAGAAAGACGGAGATGCCTTTGGTCTTCTCCAGGGCGGATGGGGGGAAAGGGCGCACTTTGAATCAGCTCCCCGAAGCAGAGGGCAGAGAGGATTCCCAACGCCCACCCCACCTCACCCCGGTGGCATTTAGTACAGAGAGCGTGTCCACCCGGGAATTCTTGGCATTTCAAGCAATGTAGCATCACCATTTTTTTTAAAAAAAGAGATGCATTGCAGTTCTCCCCCACCCCACTTTTATTTTAAAAAGGAAAAAAAAGGAAGCCAAGTGAGGCTAAATGAAAACCACAGCTGGTAGGACCCAACGCAGATTGCTGAGCAGAGCAACCAGACTGAAAAGGGACGAAATTCACCAGCTGTCCTGTTTCAGGTCCCATCCCAACCTTAAATGGAAGACCTTTGTCTTGGGGAAGGCCCCACCCTTTTGTTCGAGATTTTGCAGAAGAAAACCTGTTTATTCTCGAAGGCTTTCATGGCTGGGATCTGATGGTTGTTGTAGGTTTTTCAGGCTGTTTGGCCTGAAAACAGCCTGTGTTCTCAAGGTTTTTCTTCCTAATGTTTCGCTAATCTCTGTGGCCCTCAGAGGACAGGAGTTAGAACTCTGTCTATGCTCTGGTGCAGTTTTGTGGGATAGTTGAGTATTTGTAGCTTTGAGGATACACAGGGGCTGCATGAGAGACCAGACTCCTCACCCCAATTCTGCTGATGGAAGAAGTTCTTTCAGTGGAATAACAGTGTTCAATCTTCCCTGTACATTTAGTAAAAGCATAAGCTGAGACTCTAAGACTGCTACTTTAAAATGCAGGTGTATGATTGATTCCCAATTCCCACGCCAAAATGCTGTGTCCCACGCCAAAATGCTGTGCTTAGTGAAAAGTTAGCATAACTTCTCAACAGAAATACTATATTTCTGTGTACAGGGAAGATTTTATTCATGAAATATTCAGTCTGGCGATTTGTCCACTGGTCATTTGAAGCTGAATAGTCTCTTGTTCATCGTACCAAAAACTTACCTCCTTCTTCCCAAACAAGTTTTGACTTGTTCACATGGAAAAAAATGCATGGCATAGACAGGACTTGGATTACAGATTAATACTGAAGAACAATCGAGGCATGCTTATTTAGGACTACGTCCTGCTGAACAGGCTTCACTCATGGATATACATAAAACACACACTTCTGCTGATCCAAAGCTGCTTTAAGGTCTTAGGACAAATGTGTTCTACTTTCAAAGCTACCGATTGGATACACTATACTGTATTGGACTTAATTTTTGCTGAAACTTTACAATCCACTCATGAATTAAATGGGGGGGGGAGACCACAACCCATGAAAACTCATTCTAAAATATATCCGCCAGTCTTCAAGTTATGATTCGAAGCTACTGATCGGATACACTATACTGTACTGGACTTAATTTTTGCTGAAACGTTGCAATCCACTCATGAATTAAATGGGGTGGGTGGGAGACCACAACCCATGAAAACTCATTCTAAAATATATCCGCCAGTCTTCAAGTTATGACTCTGGAAATCGCATTTTATTAATCTACTATCTGTTATCCTGGGATTCCCAGTGCAGCGTCGTTGACAGGATGACGGGCTAGGGTTCTGGAGAAGAGTTCAAATCTCCGCTTGGCCATGGGAAACGCACTGGGGGAGTAGAACCGGCTAAAACCACTCCTTACATATCCCACTTACCTTTAAAGTCCTATTAGGGTTTGCTGCAAGTCGGTTCCAACTTGACAGCACAGAACCAGGTGTTCAAAAGTCTTAAATTGTCATCAGTGAACAGGCCAGACGAATATCCGGTGGGAGTTGATTCAAGAAGTGTGGTGCTTTGGCCAGATTGATTGCCCCTCTCTTTCTGTTTTCTAGCTCTTTATGTGTATTTGTTATTCAGACAGGCCTTCCCCAATATTCTACGAACAGCACACAAGTGTACCTTCCAGCGCCTGTCATGGATCGCGCAATCTAGAATCCCTTTATTAAATGTATCTTGGGTGATATTTTTAAGCTAGAAGGTTTAGTACACATTTTAATATTATTTTGATGTTTATGTTATAATTTTGTTGTAAAATGCCCAGAGTGGGCTTTTGGAGCCAGATGGACGGTATATATCATAGAAAAGTGAAGTTGGAAGGGGCCTACAAAGGTCATCAAGCTCAACGCAGGAATATAATCAAATCATAAGTAAATAAATAAAAACAAATCTGAAAATAGATTCCAGTGATCCCTTTGCTAAGCTCGCCAAAAGGCACAAAGAAAGTCAGCTTTCAAGACCATCAAGTAAGAGGATGTGGAAAAATAAATAGCTTAAGTGCTTACAGTCTGCATGTCGTCTTGAGATGCAGCATTGTCTTCAGATCAAGCCTCCCTCTTCCCATGTCTATTTTGCTGGGCGAGAAATGAGTTCCTGTGTGCCTACTTATAGATCTAATAAAGGCATTATCCTGGAATGGTTTTTACAGTTTGCTTGATGGCCAACATGATTCTCCCTCCTTTCCTGAGGAAGAAAGAGCCACTGATCCAGAGAGCCTGCATGCTTTTTTTTGGTCTGTGGGGGGGGGCTTCCCTTTTTGGTTGGTCTCAAGCAATACCCCCTCTGGCTCAGAGTTTCAGCAGTAAAATGTGATTTATATTGTGGTGAGTTTTAGTACTAAAAATCTATTATTGATTTTGCGTGTAATATGCATGGTGCACCAATGTGCATAGTTTGCATGATACCTGTGCTTCGGTGCATGGGCTCCGTTAACTGGGAAACTACTGCACAACCATCTGCAAGGGAGTCATTTTGTATGGCTCATGACCAGGCCTCTGGGCCACAGTGTACTGAACACAGCTGCCCCCTCCGCTCCAAAAACACAAATATTGCTACTCTTGCTGTAACGGAGCCTTTATA